AAAGGGTGGTGGTACGGTAGAAGACCCGCCAAACCCACCTTCTCCTCAACAGTATGAACCATGGAATTGTACCGCCGTTGTCCCTCCATGTAGTCTTTCTTCTTCCCAGAATTGTCCTCATTGTCGCCACCGCCGTCACGACCCTGTCTATCCTCTTTCTTCTCCGCTTCTCCCCCGTCATTCTGCACCTCTTTCTGCTTCTTCACCATAGCTCCCAGCTTTCTCAACAGCTCATCAGTCTTTCCCAAAAGCGTTTTCAGCCGCTCGTTCTTGCTCTCCTCCACAAGTCTCATGTATGCTTCTTGATCATCGTTCTTCAATGCCTGCACTCGCAATCGCTCCGCCCTGCTTGCACGCTGCCGTTGCTTACCATGCCATCCCTGAAGTTATACACAACCCCCCCCCCCCCCACCCCACCCCACCTCACCCCCCAAACCCACCCACTCCACCCACCTCAAAACTCCCTGCCCCATACCCCATCACACCCAGGCCAGCAACAGGAAAACTAATTGGCATTGTGGAGTATCCAACTGATGAAAGAAGAATCAACGAAGGCGATTTTTTTTTCCTTATTTTTTAATCAGATCCATTCTCCAAACTCCCGCAGCACAATCAGTAGCTGCGCTTCATATGGCTGCGTCATATTCACACAAAGACTCGGCTACCAGAGTGGGCCGGGACCACTTGCCCGGCCGGGCAAAAAAAAAATTAAAAACGTTATTTATTATTTAAATTTTAAAATTTGGTAAAGAATTTCAATGTGACCCTGAGGCAAAAGTTATTCAGTTTATTTTTCTGCATAGCATAGTTTTTTTCTTTTAAGATATTTTGGATTTTTTTTCTTTTTCTTTTTGCTGGGACCTTCTTTGGCCCTTGCACAGCCGGGTCGCCCGGGCAAACACGGTGACTCAGGCGGCCCGGCTGGTAGAGCCTAGCACAAAGACATATATGCATGCCAAAAAAAAGGAAGCGAAAAAAAAAAGAAGACTATACGTGCACACAACCAGCTCCACCGTTCAGACCGCTGCAAGGAAAATGAGCGATAGCGAACTTCAGAAATCAAACAGCATCATACACACGAGACCAGATGGTCGTGACCTCGAACCGATAGCAGAATTGCATCACGAGTTCCACCAAATAAGAGCACAGCAAAAGCTCATAATTGACAATGCTGGAATAGTCTCATCATCATCAACGAAGAACCCATGTCGATATCCTATCTGGCGCTCGGTGCCCAGACTACAGATGGCAGATCCTATCTAGCCTATCTACAATGCCGCTGATGACGTCAACAGCTCCCCGAAGTACGAGCAGATCTCGGCCAATGCCGATCGCCTCAAGCACCAGGTAGGTCTCTCGTATCACTCACAACCTCAATCCCCACTTCACAGATGCCACATGCACCCAAGAACCACCATGCGCCTCATCCAGCATACAGCAGCACAGCTCGGCTATGGCTGCCTGCTCCTTCCAGCTCGCCCGTGAGCGCGTGAGCACTGGCCAGCGTTAGCGAAGCAGCGCTTGCGCAGCATGCAGCCAGTGCCCGAATGCCGAATGCGTAGGCAGGCACTTTCCTAAATGGAAGTGGCCTGCCTGCTTGCGAGTAGCCTGGCTGCGCTGGGCCCCTGCCCAGAAGCGTCCGGTAGGCCCAGAGAGGTTGAGCCCCAGTCCAAACGAAACAGGCCCTAGGCCTGTGGTGGCTACCCATGTCCAACTGCCTGCGGCCTGTGTTCGGTCCATGTTGCGAATCTGGCCCGGGGCCTGCCTCAGTTACATTCGAAAGAGGCAGCCTGGGCCTGGGCGCTCTTAACCAACTGGCACTGCGCAACTGCCTGAATTTACCCAGTTTCGTGATGACCCCAAAAATAGGCCTGTAGGCCCTGGGTCGAGCCTGCCTTCACTTAGGGCGGCCGACTGTACAGAAAATAGGGCCCAGAGGGCAGATCGAGGCCTTGAGCCTCGCACTGCTGCCGATGCTCAAGAAAATTCAATCAATCAAATTCAAAACCCTTTGATATGGTGTGATGGCTTGTTTTTTTTTTTTTTTTTCCAGAGAACATTTCATTAATAATTTAATAGATTGAAAGATGAGGCCGGGGAGCTGATGGCATGCTCTTGTTGTTTTTCGTCATGAAGAAGAGGTTTTCAAAACGCAAGGTTTGCTGAAATCAACAGTGTGTGCTTAGCTCAGTTGGTACATCTATATAAAATATAAACTGTTGAAATGCAGACCTGAATTCAAATTTCAAATCCAGATGGAACCAGATGAACTGAATTCCGGAATAGCTAGGGGCCTGTCGGTTTCACGACGATGATATATATCAAGGCTGTCGCCCTTTTGAAAAAACCTGGGTGGACAGAAAAAGCGAGGGGACATAATTGGGTGGAGGGGGTTCTGCACACTCGAAACACTCACAGACCTGTATGAAGTCGTTTCGCTGTTTCCGCCGCTTCAACACCTGCTGCTGCTGGACTGAAAACTCTCTGACGAAATTAAACAGTTCCGTCAGAAAACGCTTTCTTGCCAGCACAAGCCTTGTTCGTTCCTCCTCCTCTGCCCTCCTCTGCCTCTGCAATTTATCCACGACCGCCATGCACACAGAACCAAGAACAGTCTCCGTTAGTCATTCTCTCTCTCTCTCTCTCTCTCTCTCTCTCTGTGTCTCTCTCTCTTCGCGTGCCCTTTTAACATGATGTGTCTGCCAATACAGCCAGCTGGCACCTACTTCATTTTGACACATCCAATTCAAACACCTGATTTGCTCTCTCTCTCTCTCTCTCTCTTTCTCTCTCTCTCTCTCGCGCGCGCGCACGCACGCGCGCGCGCGCGGATCCAGCTATCCTCAAGATGAAGCGAATAAATTTAATAAAACAATTCTGAATTGCCTGGGGCTGATCAGTTCAAGGATGATATCTAAAGGCCGTCGCCCTTTCAAAAAATAATAAAAAAGTGAATAATAGAAGAATTCTGACCCACTCAGAGCATCCTGGCACTACCGCTTGTTCCACAACTTTTTTTTTCCGCCTGTTTTTGTTCCCTCCTTTTTTTTTTCAACAGCCGTTCAGTAGAAATCGTTTTTTTCCCAAACTTGGCCGTAGTTTTGCAGGATGGTAGATAGTTTTTTTTTATCTTTTTTTTAAAGAAATCTTCTTTTTTTTTTAAGAAATCTTACTTTTTTTTAGAAGTCTTTTTTTTTCAAGGGACAGTAGAAATCTCTCTAATCCATTCATCGGAATTTCATCCATAAGTTCCATAACCAAGAACCACATGCCCAGATCGGTCACAAACTAACAACAGACTAGCCCTCCCCACCCCCAACCCAACCCAACCCAACCCAACCATTTCCCACCCTCAAAACTCCAGCCCATAGGGCGAAGGGAGGGAGCTCTGTCTACTCCAGGAGATCTCGGCAAAAACATGAAAATTTACAAAAATATGAAATCAACAATTCTAATTCACTGGAAGACAAAGAGACACGCAAAAGATTATTTTTCAGAAATTTTAAAATTTTGGACTATTTCTCGATTCATATGTGTCATCCTCGCGCAGGGGCCACGCTAATCTTATCTGCATCGTTCAAAATTTAACGGATATCCCGAAGCACAGAAAGATAGAAACAAAAACGATTCTAGCTTTCCCATAAGGGAAAGCTGTGTAGTTGGAAACCGGGTCCAGCGTCCCAACTCTCCGAAAATTAAATCTCCCCAAAATAAACTTGAAGCTCAAAAGGGAAAACAGTCTCTGCTCTTTCAAGTTTAATAAAGCTTACAATCTTTACCCCCCCCCCCCCAAAAAAAAAAACTGTATAATTGGAGTTGAGGGGGGAGGGGAGGGAGGGGGAAAAGTGAAAAGAACATAGTTTCTGACAAGTTTCTGACAAAATGCGACTGACAGTGTGACTTGTCAGTGCTACCGTCTTCACCCAAATAGAACGCCCGATCATTATAGCCATACCTGGTGCAATTTTCAGTCCGGATACAGCTATAATGACCGGGCGTTCTATTCGGGTGAAGACGGTAGATGCTTGCAAGCCCAAAGAGGTCAGACACACTGCGAGCTGTACCCCCCTCCCCCCCTCCCCCAACCACCCATATTTTCTTTTGGGTAGGGGGAAGGAAGGAAGAGGGGGGGGTGGGGGGGAGGGGGTGATAAGCGCAGTGAGAGGATGCGCTCTCGAACGAAAGAAGAAAGTCTAAAGCCAGATCTAGCAGGAGACTCTGGAGGAGGCCCTGAAAAGAGTGGGTAGAAACGAGAAAAGCAAGGCCAGGTTGGATGAGCCGGACGTAAGCCCCACCGCACCTCAGCCTCTCTCTTCCTCCTCTGCAGATCATCGGACTCGACTCCCATGTATGCTCTGCTGTCCACGTACCGCCCATCTGATCTTGCAAGCGCCCGAACCACCTCGTCTCTTCTTAGTCTCATTAATCCCCAATCACACAGGACATCAGGTGTGCACCTCTCCTGGAGCTTCTTCTCTGCACCCACCTCGTAACGGACCTTCCTCTGTAAAGCCAATAGCTGCAGGGAAACAAGTGAGAGATCGCAAAAATCCACACAAACCCATTCAGACACAGATGATGATTGTGCGACAAACGAGCGAATTCATCCAAAAACCAGGGACCGATTCAGACACAGATCAAAACTTGTGCGACAAACGAACGAAGCAATAAGAAAACGCGGACAGAGTCCTTCGGCAACAGGAGTAGAAATCAGACAGCGGTCCGGGTCTGGATTCCAGATTCCGGACGGTTAGAATGCATAAAATTGAAAATTCAATAAAAATATTGAAAATATTAAATTCAAAATATTCTTTTTTTTTCTTTGAACGCCTTAGAATTTCATTATACTCGTATTTTATTTTATTTTTTAATTTCGATTGTTAAAAAAAAAAAAACTCAAAATTTTCCAGGAAAAACAGCAATCTTGTGGAGCATATCCGGTGTCTGGATGGGTCTGGTGTTTGCGACCATGGTGGCCATGAAAAAGAAAAGAAAGAAAGGTAACTTATTAACTATTATTTAATTATTAACTAATTATTACGTTATTAACCAGGCTACCACTTAAGCGGCCGGGCAATTTTTTTTAAATAATAAATTAATAATATAAATAATCATTATTATTTTAAATCTTTTTTATTCTAAATTTGGCAAAGAATTTGTATTGCTTCAGAAATGGAAGATGAGGCCAGGGACGTCACAATTCAACCCAGAAAAAATTACTGGGGCCCCATTACCCAGCTTCGGCTGATTGCTGGAAACCGGGTCCAGCGTCCCAAACCCATCTCTACTCCTCGAGTACTTTCCAAGAATGTCATGAAGCACCAGAGCTAAGATTCTAGCCCTCTCAAGGAGACTGTAATCCACAACACATTCAACCTATCGCTACAACACAAGCGAAATTTAAGCAGATTCGTAGAAAGGAAAGAATCTAGCCTATGCAGACAGCCAGAGACAGAAATCCGCCATTAAACCCACGCTCAAAAACACAGTCTTACAACAGCTACATTGTCCCGCCAACAATAATCCCCTTCGCCTCAATCAGGGTTTACCCTCATGCCTTGCTGTTCCGAAACCCCTGTAAAAGCCCCGGCTTCCATGACGGCTTTCCCACCACGCACCCCTGGGCCCTGGCTGGCTGGTAGTCCCCCATTAGTTTCACCCGGGACCACATCGGGTACAGCTCAAGTTTGCTCCTCACCGGCTCTATCGCATCATCTTTTTTTTTTTTTTTTTTCTCTCTCTCACATCATCTAACCAGTACCGTTCCCGCTGCCCCTTTCGTTACACTCTTGCTGTTCAAAATGGCGCCGCTGGCTGGTAGTCCCATTGGTTTCACCAGTCCCATTGGTTTCACCCGGGACCACGGTAAATTTGCCCACCCCACATACTAGAAGCCATCCACGAAGCACATGATTCGTTTACCCCTACCATTCAATGAATCTCGCCCCAATCACAACCCCAGTGCATATCAGAAAAAATAGTGAAATTACTCCTACCGTCTTCACCCGAATAGAACACCCGACCATTATGGCTGCATCAAGATAGCAGGCAAGAAAGGCAAGGAGGAGGAAGCGAGAAACAAAAAAAATTGGCAAACAGATTCTTTTTTCTTTTTCCTTTTCCTTTTTTCCTTTTCAATTGCACCATGATAAACAGACACAGAAAGAGAGAGGGAACCACTCATTTTTCCATTCGTTTTTCTTTCTCCTTTTTCTTTCCTATTCCTTTTTTTTTGGTTCCACAAATTCACATGCATGCAATATGTGAAGGGGAAAAAAAAAAAAAAAAAAAGAGAGAGAGGAGTCCTCAACGAGTTCCGTTTTTGTTTTCGCTAGCCAAGTGCTCTCAGACTGTACCTTCAGTCTTTGTTGTTCCAATAGGCAGGTCTTCTTGAACTCCTCCGGCAAATGTGGTGGTAGGCCTGCACAGAGCACATCCAAACCTAGTGTTAGTTTCTTCCGTCTTTTCCTCCATACATAAAGTTATCCAGCTCATTTCGCCCTCCTGTTCCTCTGTTTGTGCATCTGGTCTGTGTGCCCTGCTGCTGCTGCTGCTGCTGACGCCACTGCTGCCGCTGCTGCCGCTGTGGTCTGTGTTTCCTTCTGCTGCTGCTGCCGCCACTGCTGCCGCTGCTGCCGGATCCTACTACTACTACTACTACTACCACCACCACCACTCCAACTGCTGCTGCTAGCGGCTACTGCTACCTGCTACTGCTGCAACTTCTACTGCTACTGCTACTACTAGTAGTACTTTCCCTCGCCGTCGGTGTCGCTGCTATCGTCGGCATCGTCGCTGGCATCATTGCTGCCATCATTGTCATCGTCGCTGATATCGCCGTCTCGTCGTCATCGTCGCTGCTATTATCGTCATGGTCATCGTGTTATCATCATCCTCGCCATCTTATATAGGACTCGACAGGCTATGACTGTGCAAGACTGTGTGTGAGCGTTTTCTCGTTCTGTTCATAAACTCGAGACATCTGTTTGCTTTCTTTTCTGCTCCAAGGGGAAATCGCTTCCTTGTCTAGCTTTACCCTGTGCACAGAAAAAAAGTGTAAGAG